GGAGCGGGAATTTTCTTAAACGCACATCAACCGATCACTTGTTTAGCGTTCATGTAAACACTACATTCAGATTCACCAATGGAATGAATTCAGTTAGACTGAAACAAAAGCTGTGCATGTAAACAATGAATGGCGACTGCAGAAAGCAAAAGTTGAATCCCGGACATCGACGGCCGGACATGTCCGGGAAAAAGAGGATGGTAACTAGGGATGCACCGAAATGAAAATTCTTGTCCGAAACCGAAAAAGAGGAAACCAAGGCCGAAAACCGAAACACCGAAAGAAATTATTATTAGTAATTATTATTAGTTAATTATAACAATTATTAGTAGTATCATTGCATTTATGGCTATGAATGTGTACAAACTTTACTAAAATCAAGGCATTGCAATTGCATAAATTAATATAACATTTTCAAAGAATAAATCAATTACAAATTATGCAAATATTTATTTAGCACAATGCACAGTATAAAATAAAATTCAAACTAAAATGTTTAACTTGACCCCACTCATGTGTACACTAAATAATAATCTACTGGCCTGCAGAAAGGTTTTAAAATGAAATGTTCTCTAAAAAACAAAGCCGAGCGCAAACTTCTCATCACATTAGCACCCAGTTTGCATGTCTAAATTAGTTACATTTTAAAAATTTAGCATACAATAGCATAAAAAGCCTTTTTAAATGAACAATGGTCCATGTTTAATACAAATGTACATGAAACTTAATGAAACATGTTTAGTGAATGTAGAAAATATTTAAGAGAACATTAATTTAGTTCTATACACATACATGTTCCCACATACATATTTTTTTGTAATCTCACAAGTAATAATCTCGGGGTTTACTGGGTTTTACATGATTATTTTTGTATTGGTGGTGGAAAACTAAAAAATAAACATTTTCATGTATTTATCTGTCTTCTTCTCACCGATTCCTGATGGTTAGAGGACAGTTACTTGAGTCGTCCCCTGTCGTTTCAAGGAATAGTATAACGGAGAGCGCGTCAAGTATAAACGCCTCGACCGTTTGGAGCGGTGCACGCGCTGTTTGTGGAGACTCGCGCTGCCTTGTTTACTCCCGCCTGCCTCCGCAGCGCGAGTCTTATTTATAATTTTTAATTGTTTTATCCACCTATATCTGCTCTAAACAATGCGTGCCGCCATGACGACGACTCCGGTTGCGAGCGGGTCAAGAGCGGTGCGCGCGCTGTCTGTGGAGACTCGCGCTGCCTTGTTTATACTTTCGCCTGCCTCCGCAGCGCGAGTCTCCACAGACAGCGCGCGCACCGCTCTTGACCCGCTCGCAACCCGAGTCGTCGTCATGGCGGCGTGCATTGTTTAGGGCAGATATAGGTGGATAAACAAGGCTTCCGTCTCATCGCGGGTGCAGATTCACTGAAATACGCCTACACCACAGACATGTTGCTTCAGACAAGCACGTGCAGATCGCGGTTTCTGTTTGCGTCATCACAACATTTAGGCCGTATTGTTTCGGTGATAAAAGTATTCCGAATATTCGGTGCATCCCTAATGGTAACCCCTAAAGTTACTACTCAGCTTTCTCCACAGAACAAGAGCCTGCTAGCTTAGCTTCCAAAAAAAGGTGGCCGGCACTATATGTTCATTCTGTGAGTGAGATCGAGGACATGCGGGACGGCCCCGAATACTGACTGTAGTCTTTAGCCTCTGGACAAAAAATCCACCGATGACAGAAAATTACGATTTTCGTGTCATTGGAGGATTTTTTCCAGACAAAAAATACATAAATCTCTGGTCTCAGGGGGATATGAGGGTGAAAAGCATAGTAATTGGAAAATACTACAGGTTTCTACTAATACAAAGCTTAATGCTAAATCCTGAAGTATCACTTTAAGGATCGGTTCTTTGGATTTTAGAATCAATATCAAAATTAGAATCAATTAAAATCAAGAAATCGATATTTGTCCTAGTAGTTGAGCAATAATCCATTTATCCATCAAATCGTCCCGTCACCGTGTCATATTATCATTAATCTGTATTACCAGTCCAATCGTCACAGACTGCTGTGGCACCAGACGGAGAGCACAACACACACTGGACAATGCCAGTCATCTGTGCTAGAGAGAGGAAACAGATTTATCCAATATTGTCTGAGCTCCACAGTGCCCGCACTGGACTTGACTGGCACTGAGTCCTCTGTACAGCACAAGATAGAAGAGGATTGTTCAGCAACTGACGGATATTAGCCCTGATTGTTCAGTAACACGACTCATTGTGCCTGTCGCGAAACCCCTATTTTATAGCCATGTTCTTCATCATTGATTGACATAACACAAATTTTACATTTCATGACTAGTGTTTGATATTAGGGATGCACGATATATCGGCCAGCATATCGGTATCGGCCGATATATGTTCATTTTTAATGTTATTGTTATCGGCCTGGTAAGAAAATGTGGCCGATATATTAAAGCCGATAAATAATGTATTATTCCCTTCAGCTGAGACACTTGTTGAGCAATGTTTATGTTTTTGAATTTCTTGAAATATGATTGAAATCTTTTCAAAAATTGAAAATACGGTTCGGTACAACGTGCGCACCGCAAATCTGTCATATCGGCTATACAACACTATAATGAGAACATCATTATAATTGTGCGCTTGGGACATGGATTTAATTGTGAGACTTTTGTTTTTGTAATCAGGCTCTCAAAATTAGATACAAATTTGGATTTAAGTTTATCGGCAGATATATCGGTTATCGGCTTTCAAATATAAAGAATTATCGGTTATCGGTATCGGCCAAAATTTTTATATCGGTCCATCCCTGTTTGATATGGTATATGACCAGTGTTGGGCATGTTACTTAAAAAAAAGTAATTAGTTATAGTTCTCACAAAGCGTTACATCATTATAAAAGTAACTAATTACCAGGAAAAGTAACTATCGCATTACTTTTTAATAAAATGTCAAATAACTTGGATGCCCCCTATATTAAATGTTAAATGAGTGAATAAATTATTATTATTACTATAATAACATAGTACATATATAATAACATTGTACACTAATCTACGTTTTCCAGTTCAGTGGTTTTAGTTATTTAGTTTTATTGAGAGACTTATTTTTTGAGTTATTCTTAAATCTTAAATTTTAAGATTTTTTTAATGTTTTTGAAAGTCTCTTCTTCTCACCAAGGCTGCATTTATTTGTTCAAAAATATAGTAATATTTTGAAATATTATTACAATTCAAAATAACCATTTTATATGTGAATATATTGTAAAATGTAATTTATTCCTGTGATCAAAGCTGAATTTTTAGCATCATTACTCCAGTCTTCAGTCACATGATCCTTTACAAATCACTGTAATATTTGTGTTTAATGCCATCACACTAATTCCTAGATCCTTTCTTTTTGCTTTTTTGCCATAAAATATTTTTTTTTAATTATTATTAATTTAATTTAAAATAATCTGATAATTATTTAACAGATATTGTCTTTAAGATTCAATCTAGTTTAAGACATAGTTCCAGTTATACGCCGCTTATACTGACTTTTTACAGTGGCATCATTTGTCTCATCCAGTCTTATTCATTGTTTTCTTGTTTTTGTTTCATAATGTGAAGCTGTTTGTGCATTTCTTCCCATCGGTTTGCATTAGCCTACACAAATTTGAATTTCCATATTTTTAAGCAATTAGGCCAATAGATTATCAAACAGACATCGCAACATTTCATTTAATAATATATAAAACATTTTGGGGTTGAATTTCAAAAGTAACCGTATGGTGATATAAAATGACTCATAATGGTGATCTAGAATGACTCATACCGTACGATTATGGTCATGCCGCCCACTATCTTGTACAGGTTCAGAGCAGCTTCTTCTACACTGTTCGGCAGGCTAATAATACGGCGTTAAGCGTTATCATCAGGGTTCGTGACACGGCGTGCGAAACCTGGAGTCTCGTCAGCAGATTGTAGGCCATGTTTTGTGAGCGCAAGCCAACACATTCCTGACGCGGTCTGCCATCAGCCGGCATGAGAGGAATGCTGTCGAGATTCTAGTATGTAAATGCCTGTCTTTGTCTCATCTCTTCCTGATGAGAGCAGAGGCTGCTGGGAAAACAAAAAAAACTTGTGACATTCTGAAGAGACTCTGTATTGGTTGTTTCTGGGTTGGTGAGAAAAATGTCAGTAAACTCCAGCTCACTGTACATATGTTTTTGCATTGTAACTTTATTTTAATAGTTCTTTAATTCAATATTTTAAAAATAAATGTGATTAGTTAATTATTAATAATGTTTAAAAGACATTAAAAAGTCGAAAATGTAAAAAGGTCTCTTTAAGTATCCATTTAAACAATAGTGAGAACTAGGGCTGTCAACATGGCTGAAAAGCTTCTTTCTTAATTATTAGCAAAATTGTGTCCTAAACCAAATCAAACATGTTATATTTAATTGAAATGAAATGACATTCACTTTTAAAACAATTGTTCTTAAATTAAAATATAATTTACTTAATGTGCATGCAAAGAAAATTAGATAACAGGTAACCTGAGAAAACATGCATACGTTAACAAAGGGCTGTCAAATAAAAATTCAAATTTCAAATATTTGAAAAATTTGAATTTGAATTTTTGGTGTGTCAAGACATGCGAGACATGCATCTGACACCAAAAATTCGAATGCATGGTGTTTCGCATTCAAATGTGCAGTTTTGTTTTTTTTTTTGTGACGAATATTTAAAATTTGAATTTTTATTTGACAGCTCATAGTTCTTTAATTTAAAAAAAAAATGAAATTGTTATTAGTTAATTGTTAATGCTGATAGATAAGCAATATAATAATTGCATATAATCCAATCAAAACCAGTCATCACCAAAAAAAAAGGAAAAAAGTGAATACATTATTAAGTCAAAAATGTAAATAGGTCCTCTTTAAGTATCGCCTTGGTACTGAAGTAAACTCTAGTGAGAACGTTCTTGACGGTCCATCTTCCTGTCTTTTTTTTTTAGTCTCCACGTGTACGGCTGTTTGTAAGAAGGCTCCTCCTCCTATTCCTCCACGCATCACCTCCAAGCCCTACATCTCGGTTACGGTCCAGAGCAGCACCGAATCGGCCCAGGACACGTACCTGGACAGCCAGGACCAGCGCAGCGACATCAACAGCCAATCGGGACGCAGCAACTCCTCCGACAGCCTCGCCAGCTCTCGAACTGGGAGTTTGGCCAAGAGCGTCAAGCGGCCGCCCATCCCTGCCCCGCGGGAACCCGTCCACCTGCCCAGCGCGAGAGTGACCACGCCCCCTCCCGCCATAGTCCCGCCCTCACCGGATCCCAGAAGCGAGCCTGCGAGTCTCACGCTGGGACCTGACGAACCACAGGCTCCGCCCAAGAGGAAACTCTCATCCATTGGTATTCAGGTGTGTGCATAAATATTTTAATGTTGTCGTGATTGCTATTGGATTGCAGTTTTGGTATCTGGTCATGTGACGTCACTGCCATTGGTAGTCGCTGCTCATTTGCATATGAGCTTGAAGTCTGCTCAGATTTGTTGCGTCTCCTGTAGTTTCGAAGCAACTTCTGGTTGTCACTGTGAGCACAGTTTTAGATATTAAAAAGCTGTTTTTGAGCTACATTTTAAGATATTTTGGATTTTACAATTGATTATTGTGGTAAAATAAATGCCCTTCTGTACTGTGAAGGGCCATTTAAGATTAGGGCTGAAACGATTAATCGACAATGTCAACAATTTAAAAAAAAAATGTCGACGATTATCTTTGTTGTCGAGTAGTCGTTTGATCTCGCTAAAAGAAAAAAACAGCTCTAAGTTCATTAAAACAACTATTCCAAAAGCTAAACTGATTATTCTTTTTTTATATTATAGTTTTAACTAATTGAACAACACTGGAAAAAAATAATATGCTTATCTAATCAATAAAATTGTGGCAACATATTATAAGCAATATTATTAATTAAATTGTACAAATTAGAATTAATTAGAATGTTAATTTGATTAACTATTACTCAATTCTAATTTGTTCAATTTAATAAATAATATTGCTTGTCATCTGTTGCCACAATTTTATTAATTAGATAAAGCATATTCATTTTTACAGTGAATCTGAATAATTGTTTCAAACTTACTGATTAGCCGGCAAAATAATCGACGATTGATCATCAAAATAATCGTTTGTTGCAGCCCTATTTAAGATATGTATTAGATACATCTTATGATGTCATGCGTACAGTTCATACGGTCATTGATCGGAACAGGCTGATTTGTTGAATGCAGAGTTGGCTCGGATATGTAAATGTGGGCAGTCGTATGTTAATGAGCTCATGCATGTGACATAGCATGACTAATTAATTCATTCAATGCTCTGGGGAAACTAGCGAGGGAGGTTTGATTAATAAATGTTAAGTACGTCACATAATACGTTGCTTTATTTCTGAAGAGCGCGAAAAATCCAGCTTTGCGTCAAATGAGCTGTTAAGGCCTTTGCACACCGAGTCGTATTTGTGATTGGGTGGCTCTAAATTGTCAACACCATTTAGACTGCTTGCTGCGGATGCGAAAACTCAGAAAATCGAACCCGATCAGATTTTTTTTCATGTATTTATTTCTTAACGTGCGGATGTGAATTTAGTGCAAGGGCCTTTAAGGCTGATTTATACTTCTGCGTCGAGGGTACGCCGTAGTGTACGGCGTTGGCTACGCACGTAGGCGACGCCGTTGTGAGCATTTATACTTCTGCGTTTAGGTATTGGTTGCTCTGCAGTACTGCTCCGAAACGCTAGGAGGCGGCGGAGGGTTTTAATGTTCCACTGTGTTTAGATTCCTCGCGGCTAGATTACTACAAGCAATAGCGACTGAAAGAGAGTGGATCATGTTGGAGTTGGAGCTTATTGGGGTGGAAAAACAGTTCATTTTAGTGAAATTACTAAAACTGAAAGGCAGAAATGAGAGAAGACGTCGGAGGAGAAGGTACGTGCGGAAATGCGTATGAGGAAATACGATGCTACCAAGCCGACCAATCACCGATCTTGCGGTCCGCGTCGTCGCGACGTGTAGTTACATTTTTGAAGAGGTGCGCGTCAGGCAACGCGGAAGGGTACGCGGTATGGGACGCGTCTGTGCGTATGCTACGCCGTACCTACTGCGCGCACCCTACGCAGAAGTATAAATTGGCCTTTAGTGATGCGTTGCACTAATTGTACGAGGAGATTTGAGTTGTATCATAACTATTGTTTAGCATTAGTTTTGTTGGATTTAGTGTTGTCAAAAAACTCGGTACTTTGGTACCAAGTCGGTACTAAAAAAAAAAATGTTACGGTACCAGCTTTTCTAGGTACCGAGTACCAGGTTAATCCAGTTCTGTTCTAGACGCGATGTCTGAAACGTGCACAGTTGCGTCCTCTTTATAACGCTGATATGGCTCTCTGTCTCTGAATCCACTTGTTGAAACGAAAGGAGGAACGAGCCACATATGGAAATATTTTGGATTAGGCTAATGTCACGTTGCCATAAGAGGCCGATTACATGCAAATTCGCAATTTCAAATATAGGCGCGATTCAAGCGCGCTCATAATAAAAACTCGTTGGCGTTGCATAGCAACGACAGACGCCGCGTGAGAGCAAGCGCTTTGGAAAGAATAAGCACGCGCAAAAATATAATTAAAAAACACGCGCGACATGTGAACGGCCTCTAAAGTGCTTTCGGGGTAGTTTTACGAGTACATGAGCACAGTAGTATCCACCCGACACCAGAGTACTACTGGTATTGTCATTTAATGTCAGTGCCAGTTCTAGGCGTATTCTTGCCTTTATAACTCAGCAGGTTTAAAAAGCCTTTTTAAAATTACAAATGAATGCAGTTTTAGATTAAATAAAAGGACAGTCAAGTCAAATAAAACATGTTACAAAGATACCATTCATCAACATTACTTAGTTCACATCAACACATTGAGTGAACAATATATTTTTACAACATTAATTAATGTTTGAAAATGTTATTTATTACAAACACCTGATTGTTCATGTTTGTTCACTTAATTCATTGTGCATTAAATAAATAATGGATTAAAACTGTTAGTGTATACTATTGTTTATTTTAGGTCATTTTATCTAATCTTTTTCTAAAGTGTTTATAATACAAATGTACAGTTTCCATTAGGGATGGGTATCGTTAAGGTTTTATCGGTATTACTACTCTTACCGATACCGCTTATCGATCCGGTACTTTAACGGTATTCTTATCGGTTCTTTTGGTGTTTTTTTTTTTTTTTTTTTTTTTTTTTTAAGAATTAAGAACATAATTAAACTTTATATTTTGAAATGTAAAATATAAAAAGCAAAACGAAGAAAAATATATTTTTGTTATGCAGCAATGTGCAGGCTTTTTTTGTTTATACAAAAGGACACATAAGAAAAAAAAACAAGTAGAAACACAAGAATACAATTAATCAAAGATACAAATTATATACAAAGTGCTTTAATTTCAGGAAGGTCTACTAACATATCTTGTCAGGTAATTGTTTCTGTCTGAAAAGAAACCTATTAATCAAATATAAAATAGCACTGTAGTTTATCATAGATAGAATAATGCTTATTAAATCTAAAGTTACTCATTCAAAGGCTGTGAGTGATTTTCTCTGCCTTTTGTTGTTTGATTTGCATTAATGGCTGAATCGTCAGCAGGTTTAGGCTATGAGACTGCTGCCCCTTTAAGACCGAGTGCAGATAATGGGGACTGATGCACCATCATTTTCTCCCTATTATTTACGTCCGTTTAAGACATAGTTGTGTTTAAGTGAATAAACTGTGTTTAAGTGAATCTCAGAGCTGGTCATTTTGACATTTGTATGTATATTTGATAGTTAAGGACGCACAAAGCCCAAGTATATAGGTTACTTTTCTTGTCTCGTTGCAGTCCGTTTCGGAGCGTGCATCGCCTTGTGAACAGCGTCTCTTGCGCAGGTTTTTGTGTTTTTAATAGCTATTTTCTTGATCTTGCAACAGTAGAAGACAGCACTTTGCAACAATCGCCGATCGTGCTGATTCTGACGGTTACGTTTGGGTTTTAGGAAGAACTGACAGCGCTCCGCAGTGCTGTGAAGTAAAGAAAGTTAAGCTGGACAGATCGTTTCGTTTTTTAACGGTTTTATCTCAAATATCTTCTTTTTATAATCTTTGGAAGCCGAAATACAAAATATATTAGAATAATACCCCAGATCTAAAGTGTAACCACGTTGGATGTTTAGTTCTGTCCTCATTGTCACTCATTAAGCAGGGCTGTCGTGTTGCGCGTGCTGTGGCTTTGCGTGAGAGATCGCTCTCTCTCTTCTCTCTTCTCTCTCTCTTCTGAACTGCGAATTGCAAATTTGCATCACAGACATATGGTTTAATTAAAATATAGTTTATATATAGAAATGGCTGGTGATATAAACATGTTCGAGATAACGTCTTTATAGGAATAATAAATAGTAGCCCAACTTGCGTGTATTTACTTAATTTCTCCAGTACCGACAGCAGAACCGGTAACGTCCGAGCTTATCGATACAGCGGTCTTTCAAAATTCAGTACCGGGGCCCGTTTAATACCGGGTTTCGGTACCCATCCCTAGTTTCCATACTTGTAACCGTGATAAACACTTAAATATATGTAAATTTAAACTAAGCTTTGGTACCGAAATTGGTACCGAGAACCGTGAATTTTAACTGGTATTGGTACCGAATACTGAAATTTTGGTACCGTGACGACACTAGTTGGATGCGTCTCAGACGAGTGTTGTTTTGTCCGCAGGTGGATTGTGTGCAGCCGGTTCTGAAAGAGGAGCATACGCCCACGACCAGGTTCCAGTCCATCGGGGTTCAGGTCGAAGACGGCAGGCCGTGAGTTTTGCACCCTTGAGCGCTGTGGAATTTGATACGGCAGCACTTCTCTCTGAGAGTGAGTGTGTGTGAGTCAGCTTTCTCAGCCATGTATGGTGCTGGAAACACTCAGAAGTAACGATTGAGTGTAGACGGCAGGAGATAATGAGATTCTGCTCTATTTTCATATCTTTGCATCTCTTGTCTTTAAGTATGCTGTCTCCCACACACCAGCTGTCTGTCTTCCTCCCGGCCTACCTTCCTCTTCAGCTCCTTCTCTTTTCTTCCTAAGACGGTCAAGTGTGATGAAGCATATCGAACAGCTTGCTATTTTTTTCTGCTTTATTAACATTTAATTGATATTCATAGATTGATTTGAAGTTCTGTTTGTTTGGGTTTTGTTCGAAGCGATTTTATTAGAGAAATAATGTTGAAGAACATGGCAGTATTTTGGAGGATTGTTAATTGGTTTGTTTTATTTTTCTTCCTTTCTCTCATCTACTATTCTTTATTTTTTTATTAAACATGACAGATTTGTTTCATATATATGTGTATATATATATATATATAATATTTATTGGTGGTGATAAAAGAGAAAAATTTAAAAAAATTAAAAATTAATTAAAAAATGCTGTAGTTAATATTTTATTTTTCAATACTTTTGTGAAGAATACATTTGTTGATACTTTACTTTTGTGAAGTCAGTAGTTAATATGGCACACCTTTTAATAATAATATCAATAAAATAAACATATATATAGTTTTTTTATTGATATTATTAAAAGGTGTGCCGTATTAACTACTGACTTCAGAAAACAAGCATTTTTTTTTTTTAATTATTAAAAGAAATATATATGTGTGTGTGTGTGTGTTATGTTATGGTAAAATGAATTTATTGGTGGTGAAAGAGGAAAAAATTATTGTTGAATGGTTTTTAATAATTTCTGAAAAATTCTTGTTTTGTGAATATCAATAAAATTAAACAAACAAAAACTATATATATATATATATAGTTTTTTATTGATATTATTAAAAGGTGTGCCATATTAACTACTGACTTCACAAAACATGCATTTTTTAAATTATTAAAAGAAATATATATATATGTGTGTGTGTGTGTGTGTGTGTGTGTGTGTGTTATGGTAAAATTAATTTATTGGTGGTAAAAGAGAAAAAAATTATTGTTGAATGGTTTTTAATAATAATTTCTGAAAAATTAATGTTTTGTGAACATCAATAAAATTAAACAAACAAAAAAACTATATATATATATATATATATATATATATATATATATACTCATACAATTATATAACTAAAATGTATTCATTAATCTGTGTGTGTGTGTGTATATGAAGAGTTCAGATGCAAAAGCCTCTAAATGCCATTTGAAATTTTCTTCTTTAATGATGATTTTTATCAAGCTTGTATATTTAAGTTCAGTAATTTCACTTAAATAACAATGATAATTACCTATTAATTGTTATTTCAGTGAAATCACTGAACTTAAATAAACAAGTTTGATAAAAATCATCATTAAAGAAGAAAATTTCAAATGGCATTTAGAGGCTTTTGCATCTGAACTCTTCATATATATATATATATATATATATATTATTAGCATCATCATTGTTATTATTTTTGCCCAAGTACATTCAAGCAGTCTTCCAGCATATCGATTTTTCCATAATGGATTCATAATGGGAACTAATGTAGATATCCAGCAGAGCCGCGTGTGGACCTGCTGTTGAACTGCTGCGGTGTTGCTCAGTGTCTCCTCTCTCCGTGTGTGTCTAGACTCAGTCGCTTCACGAGCATGGCGTCGAGACAGGAGACGACGGAGACCGAATCCCAGGAGCAGAACGACGGTAAACCCTCGGAGAGTCAGACGGCCAGCCGGTCCGTGGAGAAGCTGGACCCGGCTCTGGACCCGTCCTCCCTCCCCCCGCCGGACCCCTCTCTGCAGGCCGGGACGGGGAGCGTGAACGGGTCCGCGGAGCAGCCCGGGGGGTCGGCGGGCCTCAGGGACGGGCGCTGCTTCCAGAAGCTTCTCCAGGCCGAGACGGACCGCATGGAGGCCTGGTGTCGACAGATGGACCTCGAGACCAAAGACAAACAGCTGTCAGAGGAGGGTGAGATGCTCGCTCGACACATAAAGGGAGGGTTCACCCAAAAATTGAAATTAGCCCATAATTTACTCACTCTGAGGCTGTCTTAGGTGTATATGACATTCTTCTTCTTTAGACGAATACAATCGGAGTTATATTAAAAAACAATTCTGTCTCTTCCAAGCTTTAAGTGCATTTATTCATGATAAAAGTGCTCTCTCTCTCTCTCTCTCTCTCTCTCTCTCTCTCTCTCTCTCTCTCTCTCTCTCTCTCTCTCTCTCTCTCTCTCTCTCTCTCTATATATATATATATATATAGATGATAGATAGATAGATAGATAGATAGATAGATAGATAGATAGATAGATAGATAGATAGAGATTTAGTTATAAAAAAGTAAAAAAAAAAAAAAATAATTTTGGTGTGTATATATGTGTATATTTATAGTTATTTATATATATTTATAGTTATATATATATATATATAAAACTATATATGTATATTTATATTAAATATACATATATTATAATATTTATATATCATATATATATTATATACATATATTATATTATACTATAAATATACATATATTAACTATATATGTATATTTATATATATATATATATATATATATATATATATATCTGAAGAGTTCAGATGCAAAAGCCTCTAAATGCCATTTGAAATTTTCTTCTAGAATGATGATTTTTTATCAAGCTTGTATATTTAAGTTCAGTGATTTCACTTAAATGGCAATGAAGATTACCTATTAATTGTTATTTAAGTGAAATTACTGAACTTAAATAAACAAGTTTAATAAAATCATCATTAAAGAAGAAAATTTCAAATGGCATTTAGAGGCTTTTGCATCTGAACTCTTCATATATATATATATATATATATATATATATATATGAATGTATGTATATGCTCACATTTTAAATAAAACAAAATAACTAGAATAGCTGTTGGAAACTGTCATTGCGTTTAAGAAGAATGTCACCCTGACGTAACCAATGTGAATGACCTTAAATGACCTTTAGTCACCATATTTAAGTGAAGCTGATTTCAGACGTTCTGACAGACTGTTATATAGTGTTGTCAGTGCATTACTACTGATGTAAATGTGCAGGAAGCTGCTGGAAATCGCATCGATACAGACGCGCATCAAACGCCCTGCGGATCCGTGAAGAAAAGATGATATCACTCTCTCTCTAAACGTACGGCCTCATTAATGAGGTTTAATCAGAAACGGCTCTCTGTTGCCTGCTAATTTTGGCTCCTCGAGCCTGTGATTAAAGTCATTAGGTTTGAACCTGGCATATAGAGAGAGAGAGAGAGAGAGAGAGAGAGAGGGGAAAATCAATGGCAGCTTCTGTGACATAATGCAGAAGTGATGGTGTGTTTCTCACTCCTCCACAGCCGGCAGATGCTAACGTAATGAATCAATGTTTCTGCTGTGTGTGTGGTTTGACTGACGGCACGTTGTCAACATAGAGATAGTAGGGCTCAGTATTGACTCGAATTTCATGATTTGGTTCGATTTCAATTCACTAGCTTGCAGTTCGATTTGGTATAGATTAATTTGTGTGTGTGTGTTTAAATATATATATATATATATATATATATATATATATATATATGTATGAATCGGGTACAGTACATGGCAAATTTTCATGAGGAAAAAGATCAACTCTAAACTAACGCTGTAAAACTGATTTGTATAAATTAATAAAGTAATGATCCTAACTTTATAATGGCATAATTATGTTTCTACTCCAATGAATTTTTTGAAATACAAAAAAACATTAGGGATAGACTATATATCGCCACCGTATCGGTATCGGTCGATATATGTAATTTTATCGGCCCGATAAGATATCGATAATTTTATCGGACCTATAAGAAAATTTGGACGATATATGAAAGCAGATTACTAATAGATTATATCCTTAAGATGCGCACTGTTTGCCATGGTGGTTTTGAAGTACTTGAAATATGAATTGAATCGCTTTAAAAAGGGGAAAATACAGTAAACTGCTAATGTGCAGCACAAGTCTGTCATATCGGCGACAAAATTATAATATAAACATCATAATTGTGTGCTTGGGACATGGATTTTAATGGTGAGAGTAATTTATGTAATCACACCCTCAAAAAAATATATAAAAAAATTGGATTTAGATTTATCGGCCAACAGTACCGATTATCGGCTTATAAACATAAAGCGTTATTATCGGTATCGGACAATTTTCACATCGGTTCATCCATAAAAACATTTATTTAATAACTTTAGTATATAAAAAAATTTTGTCCGTTTATAGTCATTGAATGGCTTTGTTGAGGTAAACGTAACATTACATTCATAATATGTACGTGACACTGTTTACAAGCTGTTTTATGGGCGTCTTTCCGCGTCCGAGTGATTACATGAGATATGATAAGGATTTCAATAAGTTGTACTGCATCTTTTAACAACTTCTGATGTTTATTTGATGCTGTAACTAGTAGTAAAGCTGAAGAGATGATCGTCTGCTTGAGCGGAGGCACTGTAGCGATCTGTCACGTCACAGTAAAGAGCAACAAATTGGACAGAATAACAAAGCACAAAGCTTATTGTGATTTATCCGATATCGGTTTATAAAAATGAAAATCGATTAAAATGGATAGATATTTTTTGGACCAGCTATAGATAGATAGCAGGCTTACGAAGAGTGTGTGTGTGTGTTCCTGTAGTGTTGGGAGAGGTCCGCAGTGCCGTCGGCTGCGCTCAGCTCTTGATGTCTCAGAAGTTCCAGCAGTTTCGGGGCCTTTGTGAGCAGAACCTGGTGAGTGTCCTTAAAGGACCTGCGTATCCTGAGTCTTACAGGGTTTTTTTATGTTTTATATATATATGAAGAGTTCAGATGCAAAAGCCTCTAAATGCCATTTGAAATTTTCTTCTTTAATGATGATTTTTATCAAACTTGTATATTTAAGTTCAGTAATTTCACTTAAATAACAATTAATAGGTAATTATCATTGCCATTTAAGTGAAATTACTGAACTTAAATATACAAGTTTGATAAAAATCATCATTAAAGAAGAAAATTTGAAATGGCATTTAGAGGCTTTTGCATCTGAACTCTTCATATATATATATATTAGGGCTGTGCAAAAATTAATTGTGATTAATCGCATGCACACATGCATGTATATATTTAAGAAAATGTGTTATTCATATATAAAATATTTATATAATATAGATTATGTATTTATATATATATATATATATATACAGAATTTAAATGCAAATAATTCTTAAATATATACAAGCATGCATAGGTATTTATAAATACAAAATAATTATATACAGCACACACAAATATATTCTGTAAACACAGACTTTTATTTTGGATGCGATTAATCGCAATTAATTTTTGCACAGCCCTAATATATATATATGTATATATTTTATTTTTGACACTGTATTTTATTTTTTTTATGATTTTTTTTTATTCTAAACTGTTTCAATTATTCTGACTTCTTTTGATTATTTTAATTTCTTCCATGTAAAGCACTTTGAATTGCCACTGTGTATGAAATGTGCTATATAAATAAACCTGCCTTGCCTGCCTATATATTAATTACTGTAATTGAAGGATTGAAAAATGCTTCTACTTAAATTACATAATTGTTATGAAAATTTCACAGTGCAAATCTGAATGGTCATACAAAAATATAAAATGATAAAAGTAACATATATATATATTTATTCTTTATTATTTTATGAGTTATAATGATTTTTTTTATTTTAATTAATTAATTTCATTGATTTTTATTCAATTTAAATTTAATAATCTTTCTATTTTGTTAAAGCATAAAATGTGTGTATATATAAATGTCTATTTTTATTGTATAATAATTATATAGATATATTATTATTTCACCTCTATTTATTCATTAAATTAATATATAATGATTATGCGGTAAATTAAAAGAGATTGATGTCCTTCTCAGTCTGTTCATTTCACTTCTTCACAAGTATATATGGACAGCATTTGACATTTGCAGTTAAATTAAAGGTAATGAATCACAACACGAATAACAGTTTGTGTTACTGCAATACATAGCGCATTACAAAATGTTTAAAATAATCAATAATATCTTATTGTGGCTTTATTATGCTGATGTAACAGGCCGCAGGATGAGGACAAATACCATCCAATAATATCTTGCTTAGTTGTCTTACTTCCAATCTGTTGGATTAAATCTAGTCCGCCGTTCTTCTCTCCTGCTTTATACTTTCTTTGACTTGGAAACACAGCAGGAGTGCTGATCATCATCCCAGAGCTGGTCATGTGACTCACAGATCTGTAGAAGCGCCCTCTGCTGGCGGCTGTCCTCATCACCTCAGTTCATTCATATAACATCCAATGCAGATTCATATCGATGCTGTAGTGTGTGTTCTGTTGCACACAGGGTCTGGAATTAACTCTTTCCCCACCGGACAATTTGGCTACTTAATTTTTAGGTTACTGGACATTCAGATCTTCTACTAGCCTAATTAGGGCCGTCACTTTTGTGAAAAAATCCTTTTAATGGACAGATGTTCTCTTCCAGTTTCTTGTTTTTTTTCTCTGTTAGTTGTAAGTATTTAAAAGTACCCTCAAGCTACGAGTGTGTGATGTGTGTGTTTCCGTCAGGACGTGAACGCTCAGCCGCGACCCACCGCGCAGGATCTGGCCGGGTTCTGGGATCTCCTCCAGCTGTCCATCGAGGACATCAGCATGAAGTTCGACGAGCTCCACCTCCTCAGGTCCAACGACTGGAAGATGTCTGAGACCCAGGACAAAAAGGTCCAACTCATGTACCTTTCCAACATCCTAACGCTTCCTTTTGCTTGTTTAACCAATGTGAAGGTAGAATGAAGTTCTGGTTTCTGGTTCTACTTCAGTGTTTAGTTGGAGCCGCCCATCCTCATTATAAGGTCATGTGATGAAAGTGATGATGCTTATAAAAAACAGGCATAATTAGTAATATCTAGTGCAAATGTAGTAAGTGTAATGTATTTTATATGTTAAGAATTAATTAAATATTCAATTAATATTGTAATCATTAGTTGATTTTATTGTTATATACATGTATTTGATAATGTTAATTCTTAGCATATAAATACATTATTACACTTACTCCATTTGCACTAGATATTTATATGTTAAGAATTAACATTATTAAATTAATATGTAATCATTAGTTTTTATTATTATTAATTTATACATATATTTTGTATACTGCACATTATTAATTTATTCCATTGTTTTTATTCTACATGAAATTTATAAAACACTTGTTTTTTTATTCTATATTTATGTATTTTTAAATCATTTAAAATGTAATGTTTATTTTATAAACGTATTTTATATTAGCTTTTTTAAGTAAATGTAATTTTTATTTTAACGTTATAAGCTAGCATAGTGTATTTTAATATTCAAAATTAATGTTAATAATGAAATATAGTTTTTCAAATTCATTATTAATAACGTCGTTATCAATAATTCTGCTTAATATTTCAATTATAAAGAAAATGTTATTCATTTTTTTGCTTTAATTTGTATTGTTTAAATCTATAAATATATTATTAAATATTTAGTGCGTGTATCTGTATATATATGTATGTATATATATATATATATATGTAATGTAATATTTAAAAGTGTTGTGTATTTTAATAGTGCTAATTAATATTAATGATTTTTTTTCTTATTTATTATTTTTATTAATTTATTAATAAATAGGTAGACTTATTGCAAAACTCATATATATAAATATAAATTATTTTTATAAAAAATCTAAAATATATTTATTTATTTATTTTCTGGTGTAACTAGGGGTGCAGGATAATATTTAATACTAATTATGAATTTTTATTTAATTATTGAATTATTGTAATGGTTAAAATTGTAAGTAAAAAAAAAAAAAAGATAATCCTAAATAATAATCCTATTTGAATTGTTGAATGCCATCCTCAGGAGGAGAAGAAGCCAGCTCCAGCGCACACACCAAAGAAGACGGTAAAGATAAAGCCCAGCGGCGGGAAGGAGAAGAGCCTGGACTCTGTGGCCGATAAACAGCGTCAGGAGGCCAGAAAGCGTTTAATGGCGGCCAAACGCGCCGTTTCCGAGCGGCAGAACTCCGCCACCGAGAGCGCCGAAAGCATCGAGATCTACGTCCCCGAGGCTCAGACGCGACTTTAATGAACCACCAAACCATGAACTCCTCCACTCCTAGAGACGCTCATGGACACGCTTGCGGAGCCGGAGCGCACCACGCCTGGATCTAAAGGTGAACGGCCGGAAACAACGAGCAAAAATAGTAATAAAACAATAAAAAGAGCGACAAATTGAATTTGAACGCTTCCGCGTCGCCGCTGCCACTGAAGAACCTCCTGTTGACCGTTTGTTTATATGGCTTCCCCTTGTTATAATTATAAATGTCATAAAAGTTAACTATCTCATGGAATATATCAAGACTTTGTCTGTAAATTGTGCTAATATCTCTTGATGATGAAAAGAGCGCGTCAGATCTCAGACCCTTTACTCGCGTCGCGTCACACGACCCGTCACATGACCCACGGACAGCATGCACTCAGGATCCTGCACGTGTGCACTTGTCTTTCATCAGCGCAGTCTTCCCGTTCTCACAAACACCTTTCTTTTCCATTTTTCCCGGCTCCGTGGAGCGCCGAGCACGGACACGTGACTTTTATCACTCGATGTGAATGTTCTGATGGTACGGCAGACGCTTGAAGTCTGAAGCGAATCACCGCAGGAAGTCGTAGAATAGCACAGGAAGCAGATTTTAGCACTGTTTGGTTCACGTCACTTTTCACTCCAGTAAAATTGAATGCAGAAACGCATTTCAGCTTGATTTATTTTCCATTTTTATTTAATAGGCTCCAAATATGTGACCACTCGACTTTTATGATGAATGTTTTAAGACGTCAACAATGAAATGTCCAGATTTGACTTGGACCAACTGCCTGTCTGTTTTGTATTAATATTAATATTATTTTAATTCATTCCATGTGTTCTTCAGCACGGTTTCCTGATGTTACGGTTCCAGCGATGGCCGTACGACCGTGTCTGTGTGACCAATTAGAGCCCATCATTTGTGATCAGATGTTTTTTTTGTTTTTTATTAGTAGTATTTTCTTTGACAGATATTAAAAACTTCCGTTACCCAAAACTCAGCTGATTTTTAGTTTGGAAAAGTTGTTTCGGTGTCAGATTTCCATCAGATTTTACTCTTTTCAGTGTGTTGTTGACCAACAGAAGGTTTACTGGGTATTTTAAACTGGGTTCAAAATACACACTTCAGATCTGGGAGAATCACTGCCGGTTTGCTCATGTGCCGAATTACATAAAATCATAATATACACTATCTGGCCAAAAGAGACTGGATTGGATCATTATTGCAGTGATTATGTTTCTATTCTTCTAACTCTAACTGATGGAGTGTGTAGCTTTTCCTTTTTTAAATCACCCTCTATGAAAACACATTATGACCATGTCAAGATTCAACAGGCTCAGATTGATGAATCTTGAGAATGGTTGTGAGGATCATGAAGAATCAGAGTCCAGAGCTTAAACTCAGTGAAAGTCGTTGGGATGTGCTGGACTCTTGCATTGGCAATACAAGATCTGGGAATAAATGTGATGTCATACTGAAATATGGAACATGTTTTATATGGTTGTTAAAGAAATTAAGAGCTACATACTCCTTTACATTATGGTTGGAAGAACTGTTGCCGAACATATAACATGATAGAAAAATAACAATCACTGATATAATGATCCAATCTAGACTCTTAAGCAGCGAGTGAGTATTGCATATAACATCATATTTTGAGTTTCTGATGATTCATTGTATTAACTCAATTTTTTCCATTTCAATGAACTTAATTTTAAGGCAACCAGGTTACTTCATTTTAAGTTAAACCAACAATATTTTATTTTACAGTGTGTGGTTGAGTTTAGTGGGGTGAGTGTGTGTTCATGCAAGAGATTAGATGGCACTATTATTAATTATTATTAATTCATACATTTTTCAGAGTTTGTATTCCATTATAAGCGTTTAACGAACAGTTCACCCCAAAAAAAATACAAATCTACTTGCTATAAAGTTCTGACCGAGACGATCCCAGTGTTTCAGGAGCTTGATTCTCATGGTTTGAGTGGTGTGTGTGTGAAGTTCAGACTTGCTTCAGTTGAAGAACGCGAGTCATGTTCATTAAGTCTTTTATTTGTTCACATGATGATTCAGTGGATTTTAGCAGCCCCTCCTGTCCTGTCCTTATAACTATATAGTGAGTCACTGTGAAACTCTTCCATTCAAAGGTTTGGGGTAAATAAGGTTTTTAAAAAGACTAGAAGTGGCAGTAAAAACATTTATGATGTTATGAAATAATTCTATTTCCAAATAAATACTGTTCCTTTGAACTTTCCATTCATAAAAGAATCCTTCAAATATTTTTTGCTAAATATATATTACGGTTTTATCAAGCAGAAAAACTGGCAACATATTGATAATAGTACGAAATATTTCTTGAGCATCAAATCATCATATTAGAGGGATTTCTGAAGGATCATGTGACACTGAAGATTGGAGTAATGATGCTGAAAATTCAGCTTTGATCATAGGAATAAATTCCATTCACATAAAAACATCTTTTTTTTTATAATAATTCACAGTCATACCGTTTTCCCTGTAATTGTTTGACCACTTAATCCAGTCTTGGTGAGCAAAAGAGGCACGGGGGTGAGTAAAAGATGACTGTTTAATGGGAATGTTTACATGCACTGATATTCCTCAAACCGAATAAATACAATGCAATTTTAGATTCTGAAAGTTGTTTATATAAACGTTGCAGTCCGTTTCCAGCATTATTTGCTTAACGACTAAATGAGGACACATACATGTTAAAATATTGTATGCAACTTGACTGCTATTATCATTTCTGTTGTATTTAACAATGTTAGCTCGTATTTCAAACGCGTCTACCATTATCCACGCGTTACTTAACGTACAATCAAATCAACATTCAGTCAATTTAGTGAGACATAAAGGCACGTCAAGACGAAACATTTAACAATTATTACTACGATTTTGACGTTTAGAACATACCTTTCTCAGTTCTGACAAGTTTATTCTTCAGAGATCTCATGATGTCGTGTTCATTGACATCCGGGCAAGTACGGACACTCTTTCACACCAAGAACATAAAGTAAAATATAGTATAAATATATATATATATATATATATATATATATGTGTGTGTGTGTGTGTGTGAGAAATGATATCGCTGGAATCACTTCCCGCCAATGAACGATAAAACATTCACAGCCAATCAGAATCCGTCCTGCTTGAAAGCGCTCAGCATTTAAAGTGACAGGCTTATAAACAACGATATCATGCATTAGTATGGATCGCTGCGTCCGAAATCTCCACTCAAACCCCTACTCCCTACCCCCTATATATGGGGTAGAGAGCAGAGCACTATATATATACTTTCGGACACTACTCGATCGTCTCTCGGCGCCGTTGATTACATCATCTGTCAGCTGGTGCCGAGCCGGCTCTGGGCTAAATGTATATTTTTTAAATAAATACATTACATTATATTGAGCTTATCTCTCCAAAATTTGAAAACTAAAAGTGATTTCTGGCTGTTTTTGTTATAATGAGCTACTCCACACATGATTATAACTTATTTTTACGATCAGCTCAATGCATGATGGTATGTAGGGCTTAGGTTAGTGACCATCGGTTGTACACTACTTTTCAAATTCTGGGATACATTGAGTGGACTATATAGGGTAGGCCTATAATAATCTTCACTATACATTCAGACAGCACTACAAAATGGCGAGCTCACTATATAGTGAGTAATGGGTGATTTCGGACACAGCAAATATAATTATTGTTCTTTGTGTGAACAAACTTTTAGTTTAATGACCTACAACAAAACAGTTTTCATTTCTACAATAGTAATGTTGAATTTCTTGTTGGAAATTACATCAAAAGTGGAAAAAGTTGGTCAAAAACGTACATTTACACAACTTTCATTTTCAGACGACACTCTGCACTGTTGTATAGGCTTCGTGTTTGTAATAGTGCTGATATTCTGGTGTGTGTGAGGCGTGAAAGTCAAACAGGTGAAACATAGCAAATATTATGTTTGAACAGTAGCGATATTGTTTAACACAATATTTGTTAGGAGTAGTTGAATCATTCACATTGAGGTTGCATATTGACTTTTTTTATTATCTGACCAGAGTTGTTTTTCTAAGCATGACATTTAATGACAGAAAGGAATGATTGTTTGTTAATGAACTTCTGGACCAATCACAGCTCAGAATGCTCGCATTCATCAAACGTTTTACACAATTGACTCGAGCAATAAAGTAGCATCTTATGTTACTGTTTGTTATTGATGAGAAGTGTTCAGTCGTGTGAACGGTGACTTCACATTTTCAGTCTGTTTGTTCTTGTTCAACTTGTCAAGTTTCCAGACCTGCTTTTCCAACAGATACTGAAACTCAGCACAAATTTCTGAACTCTGCGTGTCGGCAATATCAGAGTCTTCAAACTTTTGTGTTCTGGTGGAAGGATTTATTACCGGATTGAATATCAATGAACTCCGATACGTTGAATCTTAATAGGGCTAAACTGGACTGAACACACTTATGGACTTTCAGTGGACATCTCGCCTGCCTTTGTACATTTTATTTATTCTTTTACATGTGATGCCTCAGATTTTATTGGAAGGATATTGTTGAACTATATATACACACACTCGCGTGTGTGGGTGTGTCAGATCAAATGTACTTCACATTGTCATGTTTTTATGCCAACTTTGGAGAGAAATATTGTAGACGTAGAGGGCCGATACTGACGCTTTCATGCACAACATCTCGTATTTGTTCAATCCATCAGGTTGTTTCTCGCACTTTTGTTTGTGTGTATATGAAACCCAGGGTTAAATGAACCGTTTTAGTGGTAAATGGCACTTTCCATTAATAGGCGGCGGCAAATTTGTGTTTAATTGTCACTTAGTTTCAAAATACAGTATTCAATATAGATAATTTAAATTTTAATTAATGTGTTTTTATTTAACTGACTAAAAATTAGCAGTGTAACCTAAACTATTTCATGATCTTCCCCCAAATGACAAAATGTAAATATTCTATAAATTTGACACACACAGGAAGTTACATCATATATACCATATACAGTATTTATATACCATATATATATATATATATATCTATGAAGAGTTCAGATGCAAAAGCCTCTAAATGCCATTTGAAATGTTCTTCTTTAATGATGATTTTTATCAAACTTGTATATTTAAGTTCAGTAATTTCACATCATTAAAGAAGAAAATTTCAAATGGCATTTAGAGGCTTTTGCATCTGAACTCTTCATATATATATATATACACACACGCACACAAATACACTCTTAAAAATGCTGGGTTGTTTTAACCAATTTTGGGTCAAATATGGACAAACCCAGCCATTGGGTTAAATTTTTTTATTACATTTTTAAATTTTTTTGGGTTTGTCCATATTTGACCCAAAGTTGGGTTAAAACAACCCAGCATTTCTAGAGTGTATGTGTGTCTCTCTCTCTCTCTCTCTCTCTCTCTCTCTATATATATATATATATAGATAGATGTATAGATAGATAGATAGATAGATAGATAGATAGATAGATAGATAGATAGATAGATAGATAGATAGATAGATAGATAGATAGATAGATAGATAGATAGATAGAAGTGTAGGTTGTATATATAAATACACTCACATGCATGTATATTTAAGAAATGTTTACATGTACTGTATATATATTTATACATAATTTATATTATATATAAATATAAACATTTTATATATAAATATCACATTTTTCTTAAGTATGTACATGCATGTGTTTGCATTTATATATATTTATACACAAATAGGCTACATATACACACATGCATTTATATTGGATGTGATTATTCGTTTCGAAAGGACAAATATAAAATAGATTTCATACATTTTATAGAAATAATATAAAATTGCAGTTTGTCATTCTGAGGTCGTAAGCTCCTCCTTTCACTGAACATTTAGACCAAATGACTTTATTAAAGAGTTGTAAGCTTTTACCCTTTTTGTGGAAAGTGCCAAAACACGATTAACTGGTTTAACACTGATGAAGTTCTCTGTGGTTTGGGTTTTTGAGCAACCAATATAATAATGAACACATGAAATCTGATCTTGGATCAGTGAATTCAATATGCATACAGGCCCAAATCTCATCCTTGCGTCTCCAGAGTCCAGAGAAAGAGAGATTTACTATAGATATCTATCATTGATGGTTATTATTTTTCAGAACTGACAAGTAATATAGATATACAATGTTACACTCTGTAGATTGTAGGATTGTTGTGGGAACATTTCTTTTACCATCAAAATAAAGTTTTATTTAACAAGAACAGCAGAACAACGGATGGTGTTTGTTATTCGAGACGTATTGAGTGGCGTTGCTTTTATTTTGCTCATGTTCATTTATTATTGTATGTATATATCGGCCAATATATCGGTTATCGGTTTTCAAGTACAAAGAATTATCGGTTTCAGCCAAAATTTTCATTGATAATTCTCCTTTTATTATGGAATATTGCAGCATTTATTACAATAAAACATTCATCCATATTTTCACTTCTCATGTATTGTGCAAATCATTCATGTAAGGGATTAGTATATACAGAATAAGTTGCTAAATGAATCTGGCTGCTGGTTTTTACATGTCGTCCTTGTCTTTGGCGCCGTGTTTGAGGATGCGAGTGAACTCGACGTAGTTGAAGTTCCCTTTCTTGTCGATCGGCGCCTCTCGGAAGAGCTCGTCCACTTCTTCATCTGTGAAGCGGTCACCCATGGTGGTAAGCAGCTCTCGGAGATGATCCTCGTGGATGAACCCTGTCACACACACACACACATCACAACCACTTCAGGGTCAGTAGACTAAACACATTTAGCCATCATTTAAAAAAAAGAAAGTAGTTGTTTAAAAAATAAAACATTTTATGGTTTTAGTTCGTTAACTATAATAATCATGTTTAGGTTTTAGGAATAATGCATGTATGGTTTTAGTCATATCTAAGCCTAAAATCAAAAGAAAAATATTTATGTAATTGTAAAAAAAAATTATATTATGCATTTTTGCTTACACTGAAAAAAATAATATGCTTTATCTAATCAATAAAATTGTGGCAACATATTACAAGCAATATTATTAATTAAATAGTACAAATTAGAATAAATTAGAATATTAATTTGATTAACTATTACTCAATTCTAATTTGTTCAATTTAATAAATAATATTGCTTGTAATCTGTTGCCACAATTTTATTGATTAGATAAAGCATATTCATTTTTACAGTGTATTTCTTAGACTTATGCCTTTTAACCTATGCTGTACATTTTAACATGAACTATTCAAGAAGCTGTTGATGTCATTTTAAACTCTGAAACTGTTAATCCTGTGAACTTTATGAGGGGATAATTACAGCCCAACTTATATTAAAATGCATTAATTTAGCTTGAGATGGTGCAGTGCAGTTTATTAACACTTGAACATGTTATTTGTCTGGCAGATTAAAGTCCTCGCTGTACCAGAAGCGTCTTCATCGAAGCATGTGAAGGCGTTTCGTATGACGTCCTCGGGGTCGGTCCCGTTCAGACGTTCTCCAAACATGGTGAGGAACATGGTGAAGTTGATGGGACCTGGAGCTTCACTCATCATTCCCTCTAGGTACTCGTCAGACGGGTTCTTCCCTGGGTAACACACACACACACATCAACTTCATTGCTGACTCCTGTTCTAAGTTTCACTTGTGTTGGTAAAATCATTCCAGTGTGGTTGATGACAAATGGTTGATATTTTGTATGTTATTTGGCCTGCAAAATATTACTGACAAAAGACAATATTGGAGGAATGCTTAAAAAAAGAGTCATCTCAAAATTTTTGATGAACGAGTTCGAACAGGAGCGTCACGAACGTGCGTCACAGAACAGAGCAAGGCGAACATTTGCTTATAAAACTTAAAGGGTTAGTTCACCCAAAAATCATCTTCGCAACACAAATTAAGATATTTAAGATATTAAGATCACTCCTGTATACTAGTCCATAGGCTTCTTGAGGGAATGACTCTTGCTGGCATTAAAAAGTCATTAAAGACATCGTTAAAATAGTCCAAGTGACTACAGGGGCTCGATTTTAACTTTATCAAACGACGAGAACACTTTTTGTGCGCAAAAAACAACAAAAATAACGACTTTATTTCAACTATTCACTTCCTTCTCCATGGGCCTGTAGTCAGTTAACGTAGTGTGATTGCGTAAAGCTACGTCACACGTAGGCTCACTATTGGCCGACGCTGGTCATGTGTGTGATGCGTGTGACGTACAATAACAGAAGCTTACACTATTAAACTAGTAACCTGACTCGAGGCAGAGGGAGAAATAAACGAATAGTTGAAATAAAGTCGTTATTTTTGTTGTTTTTTTGAAAGTGTTCTCGTCGTTTGATAAACTTAAGATTGAGCCCCTGTAGACACTTGGACTATTTTAACGATATCTTTAATGACTTTTCGAGGACAGCAAGAGTCATTCCCTCAAGAAGCCTATGGACTGTATGCAGGAGCGATCTTAATATCTTAAATATCTTAATTTGTGTTGCGAAGATGAACGAAGGTCTTACGGGGTTGGAACAACATGAGGGTGAGTAAATACTGACAGAATTTTCATTTTTGGGTGAACTAACCCTTTAAACTTTGTCTTTTTTTTTTTTAATGAGCGATCGTTTCGCTTGATAAGACCCTTATTCATCGCCTGGAATCGTTTAAAGCCCTTAAACCCTTAAAGTTTGCACTGAAACTGTCTTTTGGACTTTGAACCGTTTGGTTCCCATTGAAGTCCATTATATGTAGAAAATCCTGGAATGTTTTCATCAAAAACCTTCATTTCTTTCCGACTGAAGAAAGAAAGACATGGACATCTTGGATGACATGGGGGTGAGTAAATTATCAGCAAAAGTTTTTTTTAAAAAGTGAACTACTCCTTTAATAAAAGTGTGTAGCTTTAGGTTTTTATATATAATCATAATAAGTAAAAAGATGTACCTCAAACCGCATCTGTTGAGAAGTTATTTCCCATGTTATATAAAAGCATTATATATGTATATTACCAAGAGAGGCCAACATGTCGTGCAGATCCTCCTTATCGATGAAGCCGTCTCTGTTCTGATCGATCATATTGAAGGCCTCCTTGAACTCCTGGATCTGTGATTGGTCGAACATGGCGAAGACGTTGGAGGTGGCCCTCTGCGGGCGCTTCTTCGTGGTCTTTCCTTTGGCACGCTTGGCTGCGGACATTGTGACGGCTGGGTTTGGCTCTGCAGAAGAGATGCGAGATTACAGTCGGCTTATCGGAGTCTGGAGGGAAATGCAATGCAATAGAGCAATGCCGTCGACTCGGAAGATAGATGAAGTGGTAACGCTTTTTCAAATTTGTGTTAAAACAACCCAGTGAATTCATCTAAAACTTCATTTTTTGTACTGCGTGGAATATTTTACTGAAAACAATGTACTTATAAAAGCGCAAGGCCAACTAAATCAAGCCAGTAAAGACTGAAAATAGTGACACTTTAAAAAAAACTTTTGATTTCACTTATACAATCTAAACAATGCTGGGTTGTTTTAACCCAAATTTGGGTCAAATATGGACAAACCCAAATGTTGGGTCAAAAATGTAATTTCAAATTTTAACCCAACTTCAACTCTCACTTTAAATTAAACTTTGAACCCAACATTTGAGTTTGTCCATATTTGACCCAAATTTGGGTTGAAACAACCCAGCATTTTCAGAGTGTACAGTATATGTATATTTGGGTTACACTTTATTTTAAGGTATCAGTATTACAGTGTAAATACATTTGCGTACCGAGTACTAATATATAACTACATGTACTTACTATACACTCTAAACAATGCTGGGTTGTTTGAACCCAAATTTGGGTAAAATATGGGCAAACCCAAATTTTGGGTTAAAAATGCAATTTAAAAAAAATTACACAGTTGAAAGTGAAAGTTAAAGTTGGGTTAAAATTTGAAAATACATTTTTAACCCAACATTTGGGTTTGTCCATATTTGACCCAAATTTGGGTTCAAACAACCCAGTATTTTTTAGAGTGTATGCTTAGGGTTAAGTGCATGTAATTATGCATAACTTGTTATTATGTAACAGTAAAATAAAGTGTCACCTATATTTAGACCCAAAATCTTGATGTTTATTATAACAGCAGAACCCCATTTCAAGTGTACAAGATCATATTGAATCAGTTTAAATTCTCTGCCAGCAATGTTCAACTATAAACTTAAACTATATTATATCGGTTAACCATTTACAAAAGCAACATCGATTGACAGTTCTTAAGAGTAAATGTACCTGGTTTAGCTGTAAGACGGGAGAGAACGCCGGGTGTGTGTTGGATCTGTTCCTCTTTGGTCTGAAGGGAAGTTTGTTTGGTTTTTCAGGCTTTTCTCCACACCTCCCTGTTCCTGAGCGGCCAATGAGGTCAGCCTCCCGTCTGGAGCCTTTAGCCATACAAGGCAAAGGAATCCGCGAGCCGCAGACCTCGCATATCCTGAGAAACAGCAGAACGTTTTCACAATGGCCCGGCTCTGGCCAGAACAAGGCCTTATTTAGCAAATAAATGACTAAATGTGCAGGACAAAAGAAACATTTCCTTTGGCAGCCAGTGCAGATGAAGACCAGCACAGGCCGGCTTTCTAAAGTCATTTCAGGCACTGCTCAGGGATTTGCATTGCATTGGAGGGGAAAAATATGCAAATTTATGAGCTGCTGGCTTTGGTAAAAGAGATATATCTTCGTTCTTCTTCTCAAATATTTATATACACAAATGAATGGAGAGCTATATTAATGTTCCTGCTGCATGCAGTGTCTATTGTTTTAAAAACTAGGCTATACAAAAAACAGTGTGCACAAAGCTACTGCATTTATTGCATAAATAAAACAACTAGGTGATGTTACAAAAGTTAAAAGTATTTTTCCTATTTTTATTATTATAATTTTTTTGGGGGGGGGGCAATGTTAATTTAAGTCTACACAACAATGTTCAGCTGAACAATGACACTATTGTCTTTTTAGAGCTGCTTTGTGACAGAATTGAACTCTGTTCGCATCATTGAATCGTTATTTTCCTGTTTATCCCTGCAAACCTGCTTAGAAACAATCGGTATAGTATAAAGCACTATAGAAATAAAGACTTGACGATGTCCAATTATATTAGACTAAACAACATTCATATTCAATACTCAACAAGTGTTATACACCAAGCCTAACTGTTTTTACTACAAATGAAACCAAAAATCATGGTTATTATTATAGACCATTTCACAAGATGTAAACAACACTGGTCCAGAAGCACTTCCTGTTTCAGTTTTTTAACACCACATAAAAGCTGAGATAAAATAAAACCAACAGACCATTTAAAACTGAATCAAAAAGTTAAACAAACATCTTTAAGATGTTTCTTTACATGTGAAATAAAGAAAACAGTTACAAACTGAAACAGGAAGTGCTTCTGGACCAGTGTTGTTTACATCTTGTGAAATGGTCTATTGTAGTTAAACAACCATGGTAATCACAAATTAACCATGGCTTTACTACTCTATTGTTACCATTTGTAGTAAAACTGTCAATCAATCCAACAAAAAACATGGTTGCTACACTTTTACTAAAATAAAAAAACACGGTTAATTTTCGTAAGGGAATGTTTTAGATGTGTTATGTTCAATCTCTACCATCATAACCGCTAGATATGTCACTGCTTCACACTGGCACCTCGCATTTTCTGATCGATGTAAAGTGTAACCAATCAGATTAGCGCAATAAAGCCCGCCCCCAGCATCTTCATCGCAGTGATTGGTTCAGACGTTGAGCGGCAAATCTTACTGGCTTATCATTAATCACAGAAGTTCTTCCTACAGAGGGCGCTTTACGGCTCACCCGTCTAAAGCCATGAATAATAATATTGAATGAATGATGCTCTCATCTTTACTAGAGACATGTTTTAACCAAAACTTTAAAAATAGCCAAAACTTAAAAAAAATATTTAATTCATTTATACTTGACACACAAAGAAAAAGCGCGACATTCTCCACTACAAAATTGTTTTGAAAAGCCTCATCCAGTTGAAAAGTAATGTATCACGAGAGACAATGTTTTTTTTTTCCTCAGAAGTGTTCTGGACATTTTTGTGCACCCGAATAATGATACTTAGAACCATTAGTATTGTCAAATCGTAAAAAAACACAATGAAAAGTCAAGATAAAATAATTATTATTTACACCCATCGCGCCTGACCAATCACAGCCTATATGTGCCGCTAACCCCGCCCGTTCTGTCACTTCTATGATAACCAGAGTTCTAGCATTTATTCTTTTCTATGCGTTGGTTGGATCTTAATCTTTTTTATATCCGTGGGCGGCTCCAGTAGACACACACTTCCTGAATCGCAGCGGTCACATCACGTTCTCTTTTCCAGAGATCTTAAAGGATTTATTCCTAGCTGAGTTTGAATGGAAAATGTGCCCTGCTTTTGAGTCCTCTCCGATTCAGGTTTAGTAAATGCAGTTTTGATTTTTAAAACTCTCGGAGACTAGTAAAGCGGCAGATGTGGAATGAGACGAGGCCATTAGTGCTCTTATTTAGAGTTGCGTGATACCTGCGCCGGTGGACTGACCTCTGATCACCTGTGCTGACCCTCACACCTGTCCGTTAAGCTGCATATCAAAGACATGGACAGTTCAAATGACAGCAAGAAGGCGGAGCCCAGAGTCAATAAGAAGAAATGCTGTGAGTTATTATTATTATTTGTGCTAATTTTAGTACCCGTGTCTTCATAAAATGCCCAATGGTGGATCAACCTTGTGGGGATTCAAACTGTAACCTTTTGGTCACTACCCAATTATTAGATGTTATAAGATATGCTTTTTTTATTTGCTGTTTTGAATTATAAATGCTTATTAAAAGACTTTTTCGAATGCATTGATGTGCTGTTCATGGATGTATTTTTCTGTAAAAACATAAGTATAGTTAGGCAAAGAATAACCCTTTTCTGCACTTCAGAAGTAGCCATAGTTTAAAGTGGTGAAATCCATGTTTTTAATGTTGTTTATATATATATATATATATATATATATATATATATATATATATATATATATATATATGTGTGTGTGTGGTTTTATTCATATGCTTTAAGACAAACCATGTTCAAATCCATTTTCTCCTTAAAACTGCAGTGAACCAAAGACAGTCTCAAAAACAAACCCGTTTTTTCTGACGTCATAAACTACCTTGTAACCAATCAAATCAACGTGTTATCGTCAACCACTGGATCTCTGAGCTGAGTGAGTGAGTGGAGGTGGGGCTCATTTGCATATTCATAGAACCGCGTAAACTAAATGAGACAAAAGTGTAGAGTAACATTTAAGCTATTTTAAGGCAAAAACGTGTAAATATGTAATTTTGGTGATCAAAGAGGAGTTTTAAGTGATAAAATTATTGACTAAAGGTGGACTTTAACCAAACGAGCCCGTCATTCAAACGCAGAGCAGAGAGTTGAGCTTTAACACGTTCGTTCAAGCTGAAAGAGAATCTAAATCAGACTGGAATTTGAGCTCTGGGTCCAGACAGTGTTTTTAAGGAATGTAAAGCCTAGTTGAATGGCGTGTCGGGTCGTGTTTCTGTGGAGTAATATACTGATGATGAATACTCAAGGATATCAAAGAGTGCAACCACCTAACAACAACCCAGTACATCATAGCAACACCCTGGCGATCATCCCGAACACCTTAGTAACCCCATCCTCCTAAGACCCAGCAATAGAGTTTTGACCTCTGTTTCGTTGTAGCGAATTTCTCTGACGATATACTTTAGTAATTTTGGATGTCCTGTAAAGAGCATTCAGGGCTTTGCAGAGATACCAAATGTTTGGAGGTGTAACCACGGCAACTTTGATCAAATTTAGCACTCTTATGGAAATATGAAAATGGTTTGTAATGATCATTTAAATCTGACTTATTTTCAAGTTGGTCATAAATCAGCATCTCAGGAAAATGTTATGGTTTTTAATCCGAATATGACTGACAAAAAATTCATTGATTTCATACATGACCACCACTGTAGAAACATCAGGACTTAAATCATGTTTATCAGGCATTCTGGGAGACACAACAAGTGAATAGATATTTTCAAATATAACGACATCAATTCCTCTCCCGTGGCATCATGGGATAGTAAAGTGTCCATCGTATGCGCACTTCAGAATCTCGCCGGAAGTAGTAGGTCACCCGGGTACTTTTCACCTACTGTTTTTCGAATTCTATGATTTCGGACATACTACTCTGCTCGCGTACTGTTTTTCGCATACTATATAGTAGGGAAGTATTCGATTTTGGACGCAGCCGTAGACTTTAGAGCGAGGGAACCGGAAGTGCTAAAATGCTAACTCACTTCCGCGTTTTGGCCTACAAAGTGACGTGATAACTTCGGCACTAATGGCTTGCCATAATAGAGAGCCTAAGTCCCTCCCCTTCCGGTCGACCACCATGGGACCTTATTTCGGAAAAATATTGTATGGTAGTCAATGGCGAGAGACAACAAATATTTTGATCTCAATTGAATTGTGCCCTAAATTACACATATGATTTTTTGTCAATTTAAAAGATACAAAGTCGCAGTTTGCTGTAAAACCGTTGAGGTATAAGACTGTGAAAATACGTAATTACAAAGACTACAAACCCCAAAGGCGCACATTTTCCCTCAATGAATGAAGCTAACTTTACTGAGGCTAACGTCTGTCATTGTTTCTATAATCTTACGTTATAATCGTAACGTTACGCCGTCATACCTAAATGTTTTGTACCAGACTGCACACACACGAGCAGCGGATCTCGCTCGTTGTTTCGCTTCCTGGGAGATGTAGTTCATTGAGCGATTTTCACATAAAACTAAATGTTACTCTTCTGTTTTATGACAAACTGCGACTTTTTTGACTTTCAGAATTAGCTTTTAAATTGACAAACATCATATGTGTAATTCAGGCCACAGTTCAGATGGAATAAAAACATGGGGAAAAAAAGTTGTCTCTCGCCATTGACTACCATACATATTTTTTCCGAAATAAGGTCCCATGAGCCGGAGGCGGAGGGGCGGGACTTATAACGTCAATAGGGCTTGGGCGCCGCGTGCATTCTGGGAAAAACAAAAGATGTTAAAATCCCTAAAATGATGCGGATTTTCCGGGATACGTTTAATAGGGAAACCAGGGACCGGTATGTGGATAAAACAGCACTTTTAATGGTTTGGATCCATTATAAATTTTCAACAAACAGTGGGAGCGTTACGCTAACTTAATCCGGACAAAGGTAAACTGCGCTCCACCTAGCTGCTATTTTAGTTACAGTTTATAGTGTTAACAACAACCATTCACACATGTAACATACTTTTAACTATGCGTTTCAAAGTGTAGTTTGTAACGTTAGCTTTTTTAAGCAAACTTAAGTTAGTAAGCAAAACGATGCTTAAAGCAAGAGGGTAACAGTTAGCAACAGGACAACAGAGACTGACAGGTCTGATTAAAGGGCTAATGTTATTATGAGAATATAAAAATACGGGATATTTTACAGGAAAATACTAAAACGGGAAGACAGCGGGAAAAGAGCTCAAGTAACGTTACACGAGAAACCCGAAAAAATTTATTATTATTATTTTTTTTTTAAACCAGGTGTTGTGCCGAATTTCGACCCCCGCCAAATTATTACCCCCCTAGTATTGGTAGGTTTAGGATTAGTTGTGGGGGAGGGGTTAGGATTAGGGGCGGGGTTGGGATTAGCCAATCAGGTACTGACTTCAACGAGGGGGGTTATAATTTGGCAGGGGGTCGAAATTAGGCACAACACCGGAAAAAAAAAAAACGTGAGGGTTGACAGCTAACGTTACTAACTATCTGTCCGGATTACTGTGTTCCCCACTGTTTGCCGACTCTTTGTTGGAAATTTCATATGGATCCAAACCGTTAAAAGTGCCGGTTTAGTCCACATACCCTGGTAAATCCACAACCAATCCCATCTCTGCTGCTTCTCCTCGTTCGACTTGCTCTATGCGTAAGCTGCCAACATGGCCGCCACACCAGTAATGACGTCACGACGCCCAAGCCCTTCAGTCCTGGTGAAATCCTCACTCATTTCCACCAGCAGAGGATCTCGGAAACCGCAGAGATTTGTGCGACTGTTATAGTATAATATGGTGGTGTCTGGTGTCATTTTACTGGTCTGCGCATGTCTGAGTCTGACGGGAACATTGTTGGCAGTGAATCATGTGTGTGTGTGTTTGTTCTGTTCCATAGCATGGGCATCATACATGACCAACTCGCCCACCGTGATCGTATTGATCGGCCTTCCCGCCAGAGGAAAGACTTACATATCTAAGAAGCTGACGCGCTACCTCAACTGGATCGGGGTTCCCACGAAAGGTGTGTGTGTGTGTGTGACTTTACAGACCTGACCGCTTTTCAGTGGTACTTCTGTACTGATTCTGCCGGCCAAATATGATTATTCCTGGGTTGATACACCAAAATCATTTCTTAAGTTATTAAAATACATAAATTTGGAATTCATTCTTATTCCGACTGTCATGTAAAATAAAGGGAAAACATAACAGGGAATTTTAACATTTTTCCCAGCTCTACAATGTTCATACAGCTTGAAATGACTCCTAATCCAGAAATAATGACGTCACGTGTTGTTCAAAAGATGTGGGAAACATTTCTAACATTCGTACTGCTATTAAATATTACACTAGCTTTATGGCCCTATGATGATAAAGATACAGTTTTATACAAATCGTTCTATATGTAGTCCACACCTGTGACGATAACATCACGGAGGAACTGGAATCACTTTCACAACGATTTTTGAACGATAAAAACATTGACAGCCAATCAGAATCCATCCTGCTGTAACCAACTCGAGCATTTAAAGTGACAGACGACAAACCCGTGCTGAGGATAAACCGACTAGCAATCGTTAAGACTGTTGTGTGTTCGTAACAGTTGTGTGTTTCTGTAGTGTTTAACCTGGGCGTTTACAGACGCGAGGCGGTACAGTCCTACAAGTCCTTCGACTTCTTCCGTCATGATAATGAAGAGGCCATGAAAATCAGGAAGTAAGTGTTTCCCCAGCGTTCTGTGTACAGTTTAAACACAAGAGGAAGTTTCTACAGCAGAATGACAAGCGTTTTGAGTTGGATTTTGTGACTTTATTGTAATATTCACATCAAATTATGTTTGTGGACCTATTATGCTCTTTTACAAAGTCTTGATTTTGTTTTTTAGGCTGCGCTAGAATTGGTTTTCATGCTTGGATTTTAACAGTTTTTTCCCATATATTTGACTGGGCCCTATGAAATCCGTTTTATAATTTTACAAATTCCGATCGAATTTTTCTGCGTTCCGTTTTTTTGTTTGTTTGGGTTTTTTTTTTTATGGTTAAATTAAAATATTTAATAATCAGAAAGCCTGTCTAATTAATTGAAACCATGAAACTTGTACAATTTAACAATAATTTATTAGAAGATTTACATGATTTACAAAAATTACATGTTTGGACCATTTTTTTTCCTCATATTTCACCCAAATTCTGTTTTCTGGATTCCATTATAATGCTTTATTTAAATTTTTATTAAATATTTAAATGAAAAAAAAAAATTCATTTAAAAACTACAGGGAGTTCAGAAAGGCTTACACTGATATAACGTTAGAGAATAAGTTTGTAACTGTGCAGAGATACTTCAATATCAAACAGCACAATATGTGAAAAAGCACAATAGGTCCTCTTTATATGATGGCAAACACTGGTTGTGGTCTGATGATGTGTGTGTGTGTGTGTGTGTCTCAGACAGTGTGCCATCGTGGCTCTAGAGGATGTGAAGGGTTACCTGAACGAGGAGGGAGGGCAGATCGCTGTGAGTTCTGCTCTTTACACGTCCAATCTTTGGACTTTACACAATTTTCTCCAAATGATTCACATGTATTGTTTTGTGTTATTTGTTGCATAAATATGCAGTTGTTTCACAGTTTATAGTACGATCAGTCTTGTTATTGTTAATTTCAAATAAAACTATATAAAATAACGTCAACACCCTTTATATAATGCATTCTAAAAGTATTATTAATGCATTAATTATGCACCTTATAATATATTTTATGCCTATGGTCTTATGAATAACCACATTTATAATACATCTAATTATTGAACACACCTTTAGATAGTATAATGCATTAAAACGCATGACAAACGATCAATTTCAGCATCTGAAAATATTTTGGTTACAATTATTTATGAAAATGAATGTGAGTGTGTGCGTGTATATATATATATATATATATGTACACTATGAATTCCTTTTTAATGCATTAAACAGAAGTTAACAAAAATCTATTGAAAAACCGCTAATGTAATCAATATTTAAATGAAAAATGAATCAAATGATTAATATGCAACATTAGTATAAAAATAATACTAAAATGATTAACATCATTAGATCATCGTGCCTCAGATAAAATGTCTCTTTCTTTTCACTTCTTTTATTCAGATGGTGTTTAACTGATCTGTAATGGATGCCTGTAGATAATATTTCCAAGGTTTTCAAGCATTTTGGATGAATTTGAGACGTTCCGCGATCACATTTTCATCAGAAATTCTTATATTAAAATATTTTGCTGTCATTTTCGCACTATATTCCACACCTGTATATATAAATAAAAATTATTACAATTAATACAATAACTATTTTCCTGTTATTATCTAATTGCAGTTGTACGGACACGAATTGCATTCTCTGTTTTTCTGAGTTAATTATCTCAAGATAATTTTTCATGGATTTTTTTTTTTTTGCTCTGTTAATGACTTGATTATCTCAAAAACTCAGAAATTCAGAAAAACAGAGCAAAACTCTTTTTTTTTTCCATGAAAAATGATCTCGTAATTCTGAGATAATGAACTTGTTAATTCAGAAAAACAGAGTAAAGTTTGTTTCCTCAAGTGAATGCAATGCTTTTCTGTACAGTTGTATCATAAATGAATAGCTATAATATTTCCAGTATTTTTCTCATTTGTCCCTGCAGGTTTTTGATGCCACGAACACAACGAGAGAGAGACGAAACCTCATCCTGGGTTTTGCGCAGGAGAACGCGTATAAGGTGAACATCAGTCGCTCGCTGAAATATGATGAGTTGTGTGGAACATGCAGCGATCACTAAAGCTCCTGGTTTTCTCTTTATAAACTTGTGTGATTATTTTTGCTTTTGCTTCCAGGTGTTTTTTGTCGAGTCACTCTGTGACGACCCAGAAGTCATTGCTGCCAACATACTGGTGAGTGTTAAAATATTCATATTCTGCAATTAATTTCATCTGCTTATCACTGCTGTTACATCATATGATGTCGTTAAAGGTTAGTTCACCCAAAAATGAAAATGATGTCATTAATGACTCCCCCTCATAAGCCCGTCAGACCGTTCATCTTCAAAACACAGTTTCAGATATTTTAGATTTAGACCGAGGGTGAGTCATTAATGACATTATTTTAATTTTTGGCTGAACTAACGCTTTAATGGTAGATGGCATGAAATGTCTTATTATAATTATGCAACTTTTATGTGCTTGAATTAATTGAGACTATATGGAAATATTTGTACATTTAAAAAAACTATATTTATCACACTGAAAGATTAAATTATTGCTATTGATTTTAAAAATGAACAATTGAAAGTAACACCTAACCATTCCACTATGTATTTATGTAATTATACATGAGCTATAATCTTGATGCTGATAAAAGTTATATCAGTGCAATCTGGGATGCAATCTGGAGATCAGATGTGAAGGTCCAGTCCCGATTACCCTGAGAGCGAGAGAGAGCGAATTGAGGATTGGAGAATCGAGAGTGAACATAAGCACCATATATCAGCCGTTAAGATCAATGAACATGACAAGTAACATTACACTTTACAAGTCTCTTTCAATCCATTTATTAAAGGGATACTCCACTTTTTTTTTTTTTTTTTTTGGAAATAAGCTCATTTTACAACTCCCCCAGAGTTAAACAGTTGAGTTTAACCGTTTTCGAATCCATTCAGCCGATTATCTGATATGTAGAAGAATATCAGTAACCAGACAGTTTCTGGTCCCATTGACTTCCATAGTAGGAAAACATATATACTATGGAAGCCAATGAGACCAGAAACTGTCTGGTTACTGATATTCTTCTTCCTAGTAGTTTACCGGCGTTCATCTGTGGAGGGAAAAGCCCGCTTTGCGCGGGTGCAAAAATATGAATAATATATATCAATGTACAAAGTTATTTTTTTGCCACCATCAAGGCTTTAACGATGTCTTGGCGAGTTTCAGTAACATAGAAGCCTATGGAGGAGTGATCCAGCTCTCAGATTTCATCATGTGTTCTGAAGATGAAAGAAAGTCTTACGGGTTGAAACAACATGAGAGAGAGTAATTACTGACAGAATCTCTCATTTTAGTTGAACTAACCCTTTAACTTTTCTGTAGTTATGTCAGAAAGCCTCCAGCAGAGAGCAGTACAGATTCAGGACAGTTTGCTGAATTTACGTTGTTCATTTGTAAGCATGTGGTTTTGTTTTAATGATCATGATAAAATACCTGTAAATACCTTCTAGTAGATTAGGTTACATTCAAATTATGTGGAAAACTTTGAAAAACTTGTTTGGATTGCTTGGAGAGTCGAGAGCATTTCTGTAATTCCTCAGGCGCAGCTTTTGGCTTCATCGTGAGATAATCTTGCTGGAAAAATACAAGCTCTTTAAAGTGCTTCCAGACAGAGCCACAGCCATTAAATCTCTCCTTGCCTTCAGACATGTTAGATTATCTTTTATTCTCTGCTGTTAGTGTG